GAGTAACAAAGGGCTGGGCAAATAGAAAGTGATGCTTACGAAGTCTGTGCATTTTCTCAGTATTTATTTGCTTCTTACAGTAGAAGCCCTGCAGGTCAGGTTTCAATAGCTGAGAAGTTGCAGCATGGGATCAATTAATCTAGTACTGTATTACAAGGAGTAGTTTATCAATGTGTTTCTTTGCAAAACAGCCTGACAACTATTCTATATTCCACCCATTCCAGTGAATCTGGTAAGAACAGAAATCCTGCAGCTGTCTCTGTTACTTTTAATCCCCTGGCTTCGCTACCCTGGTGAGGAAACTGATGTCTGTAATGTGTCAGTGTAATCAAAAGTGAGTACTCAGTTCTTGCTGAAGAAGATATTCTTAATATGATTTGATAGTCTCAACATTGTTGTTTCTGGACAACTTTATTATGTGAAAATAGTCTACCTTGTAATAGGTGTGGTCAGCTGAAGTGCATATGGAGAAGATGCTCTGCATGGCGCTTGAACACCATCACACAGCTGATAGAGAGATGCTCTCTCTCCATCTTCCACACAGAGGTGTGCCTGAGGCTGTTTAAAGAGATCAGTTGAGATAAAGATGGAATACATTCATTTCCCATAATGTCACACAATCATAAAGATCCCTAAAACCAGTTTTTATCTCCCTTTTTTATGGAGGCTTGGCCTGGCTGCTATAGCCAGGTTCCATTTGCGGAGGTCTTTTATCTTAATGACAGTCTCCAGAGTAACTTCAGCTGTCTCAGCAGTATTGCCTCAGGAATGGTGAAACAACTTCCAACTTCTGTGGAGACTCAGGCCACGAGTCCCTCAGAAACATGGGCTCTAGCAGTTTTCCAAAGAGCTATAAACATAACACATCTCTGGTTGTACAATACATGCTTTTCAGGGCTCTGTGTACAGAGGACTGGATCTCATGATCAGTGACATGATGACCCCTGAGCTGCCCCTGTGTGGGGCAGCAGTGTCTTGGCTGGGGTATTTAGCATCCCATAGACCCAAAGTGTGCTGGAGCATTCTGCATCCTAAAGAGGGTGTGTAAAGGTAAGCAGGAGTGTTTGTGCAGGTTGTGATTGCTGTGATGATCTTCAGAGCCATGGCCCGAGAACTGTGCAAGAAATAAGTTATGAGTGCACATAGTGCTACTAAGTCCTACTTTGTCCATTACTACTATACTGAAATATCTTTTCCTGACCTTTGATGTGCAATATTTCCCATTTTGTTCATCATCTTGAGCCAACTTGAGAATTGTGTTCAGAATGCCTTCAGATGCCTTAGACCAGGTGAGTAAGTTCATTTAGTCCTTTCAGAACTTGAAGAGGAACTAATGACAGGCAACTCTACAAATACTTTGCTATGTATATAAATTAATAAGCTACCATTTACCTGTTTCTATAAATGACAGAACTCAGATAATAATGTATTGCAATCAGTTTTTAGGATTTGACTACCAAGAGCTTGTTAAAAAAAAAACAAATATAACAGGAAAAAAAAAGGTAAATAAATGAAACAATTGATCCTGAGGACATAAACTTTCATTGAGGGGCACTACAGTGGCCAGATGTAGGCACTTCACAGGCACTTCACTGCTAGGGGAAGAATAAATTTTAGATAGGCTTTTATTACACATGAGGCAACGGCTTTACTTATTCATTTAACACAAATACGCAAAGCCTGCCTTTGTACCACAATGCTATCACTCTCTTGGCAGCAGAATTAAAGGGGTCCCCTTGTTTTGTTGGATATTAATACCAGGCTGCACTCTGAAATGTGATTTTAAAAATAGAAAGAAAGTTAATTGGTGGTGGGAAATTTTAGTTGAGGCTGATTAAAGGAAGCAACAAAATATATTGACTACTAAACCTCACTTCTTGTTTTAAGTGTGACCTGTAATGGACTCCCCAAAATCATTACGTGATCCCTCTAAGTATTCCAGGTTTTTCATTTGAAATTCATTAAACATTTGTGTGTCTGATTTTTGGGGGGTTTTCTGAAAACTTTTATAGTCACAGCTGCACTAGTTATGGATAGGTTTATAGTGCCTTTGCCCATCAACTGGCCCACATGTCCAGTCCAGTTTGTTTGATACCCTACCTTTCACAAGCGTTCAGCAGTTCTGGAGGTGTTCTTATAAAGCTGCCAGTAAATGTACCAGCTGGACTCATTTATGTACATGAGCAGCCTCATTCCGACTGCCTTACAAAGAGCCAGTGGCAGTAAATCTGTGGTCAGTCCATATATGTATTTTAAAGTATTCTTTTACACTTCTGAAAAGAAAATAATAAAACATAGCTAAGCTTTTTAGTAAGTTATATGTGATCTTCAGAAGAACTTGAATACTCCATGGTGAAAAAACAACCTTCTGAGAGTCCCTATTTCTTTGTAGTAAATTCTTTATGCTGTGCAATTAAAGCTGTTAGGAAAGTCTGCTCTCTTAGAAGCACACTGATGGACTGCCTTTTTGTAGAAAATCATGTAAACAAATTGCTCATTATTTCCTTTTGTGACTCTTGCAGGTGCAACAGGAATACAGGACTTCTTGAAGTCTGCAAACACCTTCTTCACATTCCCCAGGGAGATTTGGTGGTAAACAGGGCTGGTTTAAAAGCTTCAAATGGGTGGTAGATTACGAAGGTGCAGACAAGCCACCATGAATGATACATGCAACAGTAACCTCAACAAAAATTAGCTCAGGTGAAAGGATTTCAGAAGATGGGAGGAAAAAAGAAAAAAAAAAACAACAAATAAGGAGGAAAAAATTTTTCAAATTTATTCTGACAGAGATTCTCAGCTTAATGAGAGAAGATGTCAAGAAAGGGAACTGCCTGTCCCTGAATGCACGGGCCCACCTGCCAGCACCATGCTGCTCAGAAGAGCCTTCTGGATATACTCACAACTCTCCTTGCTATGTGTGAATGTCTCAGTGCTGACATCAATTAGAGCAAGTTTTTATTAATATTTACCAATAGAGATTGCAGTCAATCCCATCTGAGAGACTTCCTGCTGTGAGGGAATTTGCCTCAGCACTTGCAGTAAGAGCACGGTCCCTGTGATTTCTATTTCTTTCGGTTAACATGAGTATTCAGCTAACCATGTGTGTTATTGCTATAACTCACCAGTGTTTTTTACCAGAGCTAGTTTTCAAATTAATTCCCTGACAGCATGTCTACCGAACATAATTTATAGCTTCAGGGCAACAGTAGACTTTCCTGCCTTGTGTTTTACCACAGGAATACTTATGGCATGTCTTACTATCTCTACTACACCCTACAGACCAGTCTCTGTAGCTTTTCCTACGAGATAAGTAAATGGATTCAAGCTTCAGCAAGGAATATAGCTGACATTTTACCAGGCTGGCTACTGTGGCAATCCTTTTCCAGCCATAGTTCTGTTGCAAGATACTAATACACATTATCGGTATCTGTGCTCTAGTGAAGTCCTAGGACACTTTTCCTCTGTGATGGTGCACCTTGTATTCTTCCTCCCAAGTCTAGAACTTGTTTTCGTTATTACCACCAGCTAAAAATAAAATGGTTACAGCTTCCATATGGTGCACTGCAAAACATAAGCAGCGTTAAGAAATGAAACTCAGCATTTCCTAAAGCAACCTAATACTCACTTTGTTTTGGGGATGTATTTTTTACTTTGTTAAAATGTATTTGCTCCCAGCAGCTATCCCGTGTTCTGGAAGCCCTTTCCAATGCTTCAAATTGCATAGCAATTAACAGTTGCAGGGAGCGGTCAAAATGCAGTGCTGTCAACCAGTACGATCATAAGTCTTTCCTAACCCCACAGCTTGTAAGTCATGGAAATTCATGCTCTAGGAAGCTTGGAGCCAAGCTGACCTGAGGGCATGGAGGCAACTAGCTGTGCTGCCAGTAAAGTGACCTGACTCAGGGGCTATGGCCAAGCCTATGGGCCCTGAAGCATCTGCACTCATGTTCGTGCTTCATGGTTAATCCAGTCATCAGTTGCCTTCTGCTCACCACTTACATGTCCAGGGACAAAGTATTTTTCCACAGCTTTCCAAAAGGAAAGAAATACTTCTCTTTAGCAAATGGGACAATTATTATTCACTTATAACTTTTTAAATAACACCAGTAAATCTGTATCTCTACAAATTCTTGCTATCCGAGAAATTACTTGGCAACTGGTCTTGTCGGGTGGAGAATTCACAGCCTACAGATTGCACTCAGATTGTGCCCTAACAGTTCAAAAACACTTCCAACATTTTTCCTATTGCATGGTTACTTACTACACAAAAAAATCAATAGGTTCTCTTTTTCTCTAAATTTCTTAAAACTTGTTAGTTGATTTTAACACTAACCTCCTTTAATATATTTTTCTGCCAAATTGAAAAGGTTTGACCTCAGGTGTGGAGCTAGACATTTCATATCTTCTTACCAGTGCAATGTTTGGGGATTAATTCTATTACTGCAGAGAAATACAATACAAACTTTATGTGTATGATATTAAGGGGGCAGCGTCTAGACAGAGACTGGGTGCCTCTAGACTTGTGTCTACTACAGGGATTGATAGAAAAATGAAATCTCTTAGTAAAGCTTTCCTAGAAAGCCACATAAGCATTGATGGCTATATTTATGGGGCTAATATTTTAAACATAACATAATTGTGAGTTCAGCCATTTAGAATAGCAAATGAGTCAGGGCCTGATGTATGACTCCAACAAGCAAATGCAATAGATTGTCTTGGTGGTGTTTGGGGGGGTTTGTCTTTTTAAAAGAATACTTCTTAGTCTGCTTATGTCATTAACAGAAAGGTCATCCACTATGTCTAGTACTGATATTTTATCGCTAGTTTAACTGCAAATTTAAAATGCTTATGTGGTGTGCAAATTAGCTGCTGAAGAGCAGCCAGGAATGGCAGGTGACTGTGGCAGGGGATGTCAGAAGAGACTGGATTTTGGAAATGGGATGGCTTTCTTAAAATAGATCAACAACATGAGTCATAAAGAAATTTCAGGCAAACGAACTCCAACTGTTAGACTTGTAGGTAGAAACCTCTCCAGGGTCTCAAAGCTGAATCAAGAAAGCAGCAAAGTTGTGAGTATTGGAAAAAGTCAGTGGAATAAACTGTCAATGGTTTTGTACTTTTCATGTTGCCATGCTTTATTAGAGTATATGAAAATACTCTCATAGATACAGTAGAACATGTTGCATTGATTTACGTGCCTCCTGTTTGGGAGGACAAATTCTGAACAACTGAGGAAACGGTGCTATATTTAAACAGTTTTGGTTTGTGTGGAAGTGTGGACACTGAAGAAAATGGAAATCTGAGAAACCTAAAAATGCCCTTAAGCAGATGTTTATGTTTTCTAAATACCGAAAGAACACAGCAGGGAGCTGCCTGGCCAGAAGCCAGATCTTTTAGAAGAAAACCAAAATCTATTTACAAAAGCCTTATATGGATGACTCCCCAAAAAGCCTAATACAAATAAGATACAAGGGGCAACTTGTTGTGAGGTCATCATGACTTTAACTTAAATGTCAGTGTAGTAAAATATATGGCTTTCCAGAAGGGACGATTGGTTTAGGGTATCTTCAGAGTACTACCTTGGTACCCAAAGTTCAGCACTGAACTTGTGGCATCCCAAACCAGCATCTGCATATGAATCTCATTCTTACTCTTCTTTGACAAAATTCATTGCAATGTAGGGGCTGTTAGACTGCAGTTCTGTTCATCATTATTACTGACTTGTTAACATTTCTCTCATGCAACTTCTGCTGTAGTGGATCTAAGGTTTATTATTATGACATAACCTGGAAAACATTTTAGCTTTTTTAATTCTCTTGGCAAGAAAACACTCCCATTCTGGGATGAAAAGATAACACAAATGAAACCAGACAAGGATCACTACATTTGCTAATCTGAAGTGAGAGATTAACGTTGTACTCTGGACTAGTTCTAAAAATATGCAGGGTTTTACTCCATTTTCAGAACAACACCTGCATCTGCTGAGGTGTGGAGAGAGGGAAGGGATCAACACTGATTTTCCAGTCTCTTTTATGGAATAAAGGTACTGTTGTCATGTTTTACAACTTAGCGACTTAAGGATTTGCATGTCACTACATCTTGTCCACTGTCACTTTGTTAAAATTGGAGTGCAAGAAAGCAAGAGAGGGCTCATTAATTACTTCAGCTTCTTGGTAGTAAGACGTGCTTTTGATTTTAAGTTTTTATTTAAAAATGCAAAGCAAAGTTACTAACTTTCACTAAACTGTAAGGACAAAGGGCTCCTTCTCACTCTGGTGAGCAAGGGAGCAGTGAAATATATTGAGCCAGAGCTCTCTTTTTTTACTTTACTCATTGCTGCTGGGGCTAACTGGTTACTGAGCCCAGTGGCTGGTAAACTAAGATGAGTTCAAGGCCAGCCCATGAATGCTTGCTCATGTACTACTTTTCAGCTTTTTCCAGAATATACAATGGGTCTTTCTGATGCAAGGGATTACAATTCAAAGGGACTCTTGGGGGCCAGCATGCTTCCCCACTGTTCTGCTCTTTGTGAAAGATGTGTTGCTTGGTGCTCAGCGTTGTAGATGAGACTCCCAAACCAGAGAATATCTTACGCTTAGAAACAGAGGTACAGAGGTAAGAGAGAGCAACCCATATTAATAACAAAACTTCAGATCAGGCCCATGGGCACTTCCTGAACCTGCAGTTTCTCAATTGGCTTAAACTGATCGAAGTGTGTTTTGCTGCTGGAAAAGGTGCATTGGGTGCCTCTGCCCACATGTTTCAACAGCCTCTGTGCAAGGCTGTCTTCAGGTTTACCATGTTCTGTCTGAGACTGCATTGAGATATGACATCTCTAACTCCCATTCCTATCTTTGAAGTTTCATAAATCAGATATTTAACCAAAAGGAGTAATTTTAACATTTATTTAACCAAAAGGAGTAATTTTAACATTTCTTCCCATGAATTACCTACTGTCTTCCAGCTAACTTCCAGAAGACTAATATATTGAAGGTATACCTCAGATGAGACATTAACTAGTAAGACTAAACAAAACACAGAGATTACTGTCTACTATTCAACTCAGCTCAAGGTAAACATTTTATTCACTGTGAAAAAAGTGCTCTCCGTTATCTGAATTCCAGCTTTAATGTGTAAATTGCTATACACTGAAAAACATATCTTCAGGTTGGAGGAGACCTCTGCTCATCTCATCTAACCTCCTTCTAAGAGCAGGGTTGTCTTAAAAGTTGGATTGCTCAGGGCTGTGTCCAGCTCTGTTCTGAGTATTTCCAAGAACAAAGACTCCACAGCCTCTCTGGGCACCAGTCCCAGTGCCTGGCCACTCTCGTAGTGATGTTTAGTTTTCCTTTCATCTCTTTTATCTTATTTTATTTCCTTTTATCAAGTGAATATCTCTTGATGAAATTTATGCCTTTTGCCTCTTCACCTTGCAAGGTGTTCTTCTGAAGAGTCCACTGTATAGTGCCCTACAGATTGCTGCCCTATAGAGACCTGAGGTTTCTCCAAACTAGACAGGTCTTCACCCTTTCTGCACACATTGTGTGTCACAGCCCCTTAATCACACATTCAAGTGATCAGCAGCACTTTGTGCAACTATGTGAAAAACATCAGGTGGCTTATTTCTGGCTCTTGAATGAGACTTGACACAATAGACAAAGTGTCTTGGATTCAAGTTGAACATTGCAATACAGAAGGACATCTTATAATGCAAAGGGAGTGAGTACTCCAGAATGTTACCTAAGTTCTCTTGTCTTGTGCCAACATGCCCCCTGGGCCCTCTGCCATTGTCACCCCTTCCTACAGCACCTCACAACTGCAAGAACAGATTTTTGCACATGCCTATGGGAGAAACCTTTTTTGAGAAGAATGTGGTGCAGTATGGCAGTTGCCAATGTGAATTTGGGCAGGACAAGCCAGAATAGGTACAGAACTGCTGGCAGTGTAAACTTGCAGTGGACAAGCAGGGATCTCCTGATCTCCTGTCTATAACCTCATATAACCTAACTGGAACATTAAATATTATGGAACTGGAAAATCCTGAACATCACCTAAATGTTTCACCTTTAACCTGTTGGTGGGCCTGATTTTATTCGCTTTTAAATAAGACCAGGTTTGCTTATATGAGGAGCTAATATGATAACTAAGCCCATTTTCAGCACAAGGGTGCAAATATCTTTTTCATTGTTCCTTCTTCATCTTCCAGAAGGACCACACTGTGCAAGAGGCGTTCAATGTCAGTCTTTTGGGGGGTTCACTGTAACAATCATGACTGTGGATAAAAGACTGGTTGGCAAACGGTACTCTGTCACCCACTGGTGTGTCATATCCAATATCTTACATTAAGGAGGCTTTAGGGGAAATAATAATAATTTTGAGATGGAAAAAAATTAATAAAAGTAGAGGTTTGGCAAAAATAAATGTTTTATCAGGAACAGCCCTTGCCAAGCATAACATTTTCTCAGGAGCCAATCTTGGCAAAATGAATGTTTTATCAGGAGCAGAAGTTTGGAAAAAGTAACATTTTATCAGAAGTGGAGACTTAACAGAAAACACCTTTTTATCAGGAGTGAGGACCATGGCAATTTAAGGAGAAAGGCTTGCTGAAAGTGGAGTTTTATCAGGAGTTTTCCTTGAGGAAAATAGTGTTTCATGAAGGGCAGGAACTTTCCAAAAATAATGTTATTTTTAAGGGGAGGAGATGGATGAAAATAACATTTTATCAAAAAGAAGGGGGGAGGGATGGATTTAGTAAAGGTAGTGTGCTAACAGCTTCTACCTTCCAATATGGGAAGCTTTGTTCCTGGAAAAATATTATTTGCACACCAAGTGCTTGCACTAGCTAAAATGCTGGTTTTGACAAGCTGTGCTGCTGATAAAATGTTATTTTTGGCAAACCCATCTCCCAAAGATATGTTTTTAGAAAAGTCTCTTCAGAGAGATGTGCAAATTGACTATAATACCTGCAGCATAGCCAGGTAGCTCTGTGAGCCAGATTTTCATCTGTTTATTAGCTCTTCATGGCTTCCTTTCTGCCTTTTGCTTTACTGTGATGATGTTGATGCACAGTACTTTGGATCCTGAAACACTGTTCTGCTTCCAAATGTAGGCCTCCTTCATCATTTTGTTTCCCTCAGGTGCTAACTAACCCAGACTGGTTGACTCTTCTCCAAGTGTGTGTTATGCATCCTTTCCCACCCGGGCTCTCTCCCCACACCTGGAAGATTGCTTTCACCTTGCTTCTAACTCCCCCGGTCAGAGTTTGACACCAGTGGGCTTGAGATGTCCCTGAATTAAATGAAAGACCCAGCAGCAAAAGCCACATGGAAAGCCATGTGGAAAGATCTTCACTTTCCACTTTCCAAGACTGAATCTCTTGCAAAGTACACGCTCACAAAAAGGAGCAGGAGAGAGTAAGGAAATGACAGGCTGAATCACTTATTATGTCTCTATATCTCATCACATCTCAAAGTCATGCTGGACAATATATTCATCTGTTCCCCCTTGGAGTTCTGGGCAAGCACCAGTGTGAGGAGTCTCGCATATGTATTATCTGTTGGTATCACCGCTGGAACTAGGACCATGCATGAATGTAGGACTACAGCCTCTTAACAATTTGTTGCTTGAATATAAAAGTTGAGATGGCATGTACTAAACTGGAACCAGGAGAGCATCAATCACTACGACCGGATGGATGGGATTCTCCATGGACATTGCAGGAATTCGCAGGGCGTCATCAGAACCACTCACTGTTTATTTACAATGTCACTGAGCACCAGCAGGAAACCATGAGAAAGGCTGACTCAATAGCTATTTTTAAGAAAGGTGACAGGTGTGAGCTGGTTACCACAGGCCACTCTGTTGTCCTCCCTTCCAGGTACTGTAAGACACTTGCACCAGGAATGAAATTCCTGGCTATTTTGAGAAGGGAGGGGCTCTGAAGCTGAATTCAACTTGAGCTCTTCGTTTGAGGCTGTAAGAGAAAGAAAGTGTCCTGCAAGAAACTGGTGAATGAAAACAGACAAGCTTATGTGGTTCAGTATATTAACTACTTTAGCTGAAAACAGGT